TAATCCTTACCTTAAAGTAGTTGTATAAATATCAATTCGTTAATCGAAGTAATTTCCTTCCTTTTTTTTTTTCTAACTTCGTCGAATACTTTAATAATAGAACAGGAAGGAAATGAAGAGAATAGAGGAAGAACGAAGATCGTTTCACACTAGATACTCGCGGTAGGAGGATGTTTCACCGATAAGAATTCTACGTCATATACGTATACCGTGCAATAAAAAGAAAAAAAGAAGAAAAAATATCAGCGAGGAGGAATTATTTTTCGAAATAAAACTGTCATCGTCCCTTCCCCTTTTCAGAATCTTCAAAAGCTTTCAAAAACGTGCAAAACCGACAAGTATCACACTCGCGCTCGCAATTTTCCATTACTTGAACGAGATTCGTCAACTCAGTGGGTCAGCCTCCTAGCTCTCTGGGAAATTCTCCACGGTGTACACCTACCCCGGGACGAAACAACGAAACGAACACGCGGCCGCCTGGCGGAGTTAATCTAAGCGCGGCGGTGTCACCAAAGGGTTAATTGGGAAGGAGCAGCGAGCCGCGAATACTATACGCGGGGCTACCTTAAAAGCGAGAGACGAGTCGCGAGGCGACGGTCGGGCGTTGCGGGGCGAGGCGGCGAGGGACGGGAGAAAGAGGGAGACGGACTAGAGCGGAGCGGGTACGGGAGAAAGGGAGATGGGGTGGGGGAAAGGGGGGAAGGGAAGGGAAGAGAAGGGAGGGAGAGGCGAGGTATACAGGGTGTTCGGGACGGAGCAGGTAGAAAATTTAAAGAGATTGAGGAGACAAAAAGGAAACCTTAATATGAGATAAAACATTTCTCGAGAAACTTATTTTCTTAACGCTTATTCACCTCCAACGGTCGGTTATAGCGAATGTTTGTATTTAAAATTTTGGTGTTTTTCGTTCTTTTGCATGCAAAACGATTATCTAAAATATACGCACTCGCAAAGAACGATAAAAATTTGGATATAAAACGTTCAAAATAAAAATAGGAATACGAATGAAATGGCGAATAATTCTGGCCGGTTCGATTAACTTCGATAAACAATTTAATTTTGCCCACTTTCGCCCACTTTCGGCTTATTTCACGAAAATTAATTTCGATGAAACTTTTTTTTGCCAAACTTTCTCGATTCTGTTCCAATTTCCAACAAACGGTTTGAATTTTCCTTCTTTCTTTCTTCCCACTTGATCCGGAACACCGTGTATAAAGCAGGAAAAGAGAGAGAGAGAGAGAGAGAGAGAGAGAGAGAGAGAGAGAGAGAGAGAGAGAGAG